ACAGAGTAATACAGCTTCATTTACATATACATGATAAAATTGAAAGAATTACGCGAGGGAGCCGAGACGCGGCGACAAAATTTCATGAAATATTGTTTCACAAAGTTACTTGAATATTATAGAAATGATTTAAGATGACACGGTGAATACTTGTTACAATTTTTTTGTGACGAAATTATGTCACGGGTAGTTAACAAAGTCTGTTTCATCTTTATAAAGGTTGGATGGTGATTAGCAACAACGTTGATTCACACGTTCACATAGTTTTGAGAAAATGGCGCTTAAGGATATAGAACGTAGACGAAATGACAAGATACAATTTGGCACTAAACCTTCATTTTCGAGTTTTTTTGGGTTATTGCTTGTCAGCGTCCAGTTAAGATCAATCGAAAATGAATTTCTAATCAATGTTAATTTTTTGTTGAAGTACTTAAATAAAATACCTACCACATGTAATAAATATATAAGCGAATATTATAAATAATGCATTAAAAAAATTGTTGCTAATTTTGTTAAATGATTTTATTGCACGAGTGCTTAAATAAGGAAGTAAATTAAAATAATTATCTGTTGACATGAACACTTTTGTAAGCAACGCTCTTAATAAATATATTTACGTTAATAATTCAAAGAAAGTAACATTGTATGTGATTTGAAAACTGAAAATATAATATCAGCAACATTTCACTTTGTTATTATTGTGCAAATTTTCTCCAAATTATTAAAATTTACAGATAAATAGTTTCACATAACGGTTATAATAGCCTAAATTCAGTTGATTGCAGGTAATTCTGTAATAAAGTGTTAAATAAAAGGTAATATTTTCTGGAAGAATGTTATGAGAGGGCCGGTGGGTAAGATGAATGCCGAAGGGTGGGGGTTACAGATGATCTTCATTTAAATATCGCGGCGACTGGGTATACGAAGAGAAAACTCTTCAGATAAATAGATACATTAAACTGTATAGTAAGGTGTTTTAGGCCAAAGGCTCTTTGGAGGTTAGTTAGTTTTTTGAAGATACAACACCTGCAACAAAGTCACCAACTATTACGATTACTTATTTGTCTATGTCGTAGTGCTTGTTCGACATTAGCTCATGTTACTGTCTGCGTTGTCATTGAAAATTACAGTGCCACTATTTGACACAGACCTCTCACAATGAAAGGCTGTAATATTACGCGGCGGGCCCAATGTGGTTTGGGAACTTCTAACATTCATCATTAAATTGTTTGCTCGCGATGTTTTTCTGGACCGAAACGCTCATGGTAAATTTCGGACATAAATTCCGAAAAAAGAGGTGTAAGCTATCTATTAGGCTATCACGGCTTTTGAAAATGTTACTGTGCAATAAAGGATATTTAATTCACTCATTCAGGTACGGTTGTGTTATCAGCAGTGCATTACAAGTTGGTATTCCACGTACAGCACGGGTGAGCAAGAGAACAGACAGTATTTCGACGAGTTCTGTTTAATTCTATTGAATAAATTGTGACTGTTGGCGCAGGTATTGGTATTAGGTTGTTATATTTAAGTAAGTGCATGTTGTTAACAAATACTGTTTATTGTTTGTTTGTTTAATTCTCGTGTTTGATTTGTCTAAAGCTATAGGTGAACATCTGTAATTGGCTTTATAATTCACTCTAAGGGTTGTATTCCAGAACTCTACTCAATGCTCAAGTCAGGATTTGAGCAGACTTGAGTATGATTTCAAGCGCTGGAAATACTACCCTAATGGCAAGGACTTGAGTATGATTTCTAGTGCTTTAAATCATACTCAAGTCCTGACTTGAGCATTGAGTACAGTTCTGGAATACGACACTCAGAGGTGGACAATTTTCTTCAAATTTAAATTGGGCTTTATGATACTCTTTCCAACAAGAAAGAATCATCAAAATCGGTTCATAATTGCCGTTATTGCGTAACATATACATAAAAAACTGTAGAATTGAGAACCTCCTCCTTTTTTTGCAGTTGGTTAAAAATAAGGTTTCTTTCACCGCAGCACCATTGTCGTTAGAAAATCATTTAGATTTCTGTACTCTCGTGAATCTTATTCGTTTGTGCCAACACTAAACCTTGTGCTGAAAATGGTTGTATTAACAACGTAATAAACTAAAATGAGAACTGGGTGGGTACCTTATTATCTAATCTAATGCAAGATATAGAATAAGCCATATAAAATGTGCCACACAATTACACCAATTAGATACCAGGTGATACCTGGTCTCAAAGTAGAGAATTCTCTCTCTTACGAGTACCAGAGCAATGGAATTCAGTCTGGGGTAGCACCCAGTAGACCAAGATCTGTCCGGAACAATTACTGTCAAATAAGTAATACTCTTCGTTAATTAAAAGACAATGTCAAGTGTGAAGCTTCAATTGCATTATGCCTTTTTTAATTAGGTCGAGTATTACTCATTTGACAGTAATTGTTTCGGGCCGATGGCGGACGGAATATGAGAGCACAGGGCAGAATAAAATTAAAACGTTCATTTCCCAAATAGGTCTTACCGGGATCGAACTAGGTACCTCCTCGTCCAGCTTGCGTAGTGCAAACTGTTAGGCAGCAGAGGTCACCAAAAGAATGAACATTTCACCCTGGAACTTATGTTTAAAACCTGCTATGTCTTCACATTAAGGATATGATTCCGTGAATTGAATATAAATCGTATAACGTAGAGGCCTTCTTTATTAGCAATGTCATTGACAACAAGTTACAATTAGCTAAAGGAGTGCATGGGAATTCTGTACCTACCCGCTTTCTAGAAAATGTAGTAAGTATAAAATAATAAATGTAAAAGCTAGTGGAATAATTTCACAAAAAAAATATTGAATATCAATTCAATACGAATTTAAATGTCATTTATGTTGAGAAGAATGGTAATAAAATTATTTTATGAATAAAAATTATTTTAATATTCATTGTTTTATAGAATGTTTCACCGTCATGATATTCAAATATTTTTTTGTGAAATTACTCCACTACATTGTTATAATTATTAAACAAAGATCGAACGCTTAGAAAAAAATTACTTCGATCTGGCTGGTTACGAACCAACGTCTCGCAGCAAACCGAGTCAGGCGCTATGGTAACTCAAAGCTCAAAACAATATTTTTCTTTACAATGTAGCAATATTTCCAATATAAAATTTTATTATGTTATGTACCAGCACAAAGATAAACAAAAAAAATTGAAATTAAAAAACCGACATGAACAGTATGTTCCAACAAGTCAATAAAATCACACGATAGGCTAACACGATAGTCCTGCTATATGTACATTTATTTATTTTATGTTATCGTTTATTGCACAGGATAATACAAACAAATGGTACTGCTTATTTCTAAAATAAATTTCTACCTGCAGACATTGATACAGGAGACAATAATGAGTTTACATGCACAACAAAATAAAAACTATGTAATAAAGAAAACAATATTAAAAACATTAAATGATTAAAGCTATTTTAAATACTTAGATAAACATATAAAATAGATGTGACAGTCGATAAATAGTGCTCCTTAACTCTCATTTTGAATATTGCATAAGATTTACTGTCATTAACAGTAATGGGAAGTGCGTTCCAAAGTCTGCCAGCATGAACAGTGAAAGAGAAGAAAGAGTGAGAACAAAAACCGGAATTGAAAGATGGAAAATATTACTGGGACCTAAAAAGAGTGTGATCTTGTACTTAACTTAAGTATTGGATAATTTGCAGACCGTTCTGCATCAGATCAAGGTTACCGTATTATTGTAATGTTATCGGATTTCTATAGTATACTTATATATACCAAATTTCAAGTCGATCGGGCTTTCTCGGGACTGCTCGCGCATTTGCGAGAATTCTGCAACTGCTGTCGGAAACGCCTGGTCGATACGCGGCGACGTCAGGCGTCTTCGGAATAGGTTATGTATGTACCATGATAGAAAAAAATGTGAATTCAGATAAAAGTCTATTTGCTGCTAAAACATGAATGTTTGTCAATGCAAGCAAGACACTATAGCGACAACAATTCTAAGAATTGTACTTGGGGAAAAGTTATATAAAATGTTAAATTTAATCACCTTAAAGTACACAACTTTGCCTTTTCCTTTCTTTTTCGTACTTCTGCTTCATATGTGAGAAAAATAAAAACCACACCTAGTCCATTTTCTTTGTCATGTTAAAAATCTAGACTAAACAATTGAACATTCCCGCGGCAGCGCGCGCCTTCTTGCGAATTTCGCTTCTGTTCCGCGGCATTGTATCTAAATTGAGAGCGGCACCGTTATTCAATCTCGAGAACCATAGCTCGTGGCTAAGATCTAATTGCACCCAGAAAAAGACGTGAATTCTAAGTCTAAATGAAATTTTAGAATTCTTGTTCTTGATAGTCTTCACAAATAACAAATTCGTTTTAGGGACATGGTTACTTATACAGCTTTTGCGTTCTTGGATATCAAAAATTTTCGCAGTAGTGTCTCGTTTAGGTCGTTGAGGTGGTTTTTATTACTACAATATAGGAAATAAAAACCTATAGATAATAAAAACAACCGTAATAAAACAAAAATAACAAAAAATTGGGGTGTTGCATGTCGTGGGGTCGGGTCGTTGGGGTGTTGCAACATTAGTTTAAGAACACCTGTTTTATAGTGTTGATAATCATGTGGCTTGCAAATACATAAAATAAATGTTAATGATAAATATGAACTAATTTGTATTTACAAAGGGCAATTCCTAGTATCGCATGAATTCCCAACATTCTTGGTCTTGAAGTACAGACAAAACTTGCCAGTGTTAATCAACATATGTATCGTAGGTAGTAAAATATACTACTATACTATATACTATACTATTCGCATTTCGTTCTTCGAGATTAGCATGAGATTGGTACTTGTAGTAACGCATACGTGAGGCCATTCTACAATGGCCAATCTTATGCTAATTCATCATCGAACTTCGGTTGGATTAATGACGAATTATACAATAAAACAAAAGACATAGATAAACAAAACTTGTATTAATGAAAAAAGCAATATGAAACGGCTAAAGACTATGATCTTATCTGTAACAATTTAAACACTCGAAATAATAAAAACAATACACCTATTATGGTTCCACCCGAACATCCAGGTTTGCTGACTCTTACTTGACAAAAACAAAAAACTTATTTGCGTATGAAGTATAGTGACCTTAAAAACTATTTACAAAAAGGAAATGAAAATTAGAGAAAACTTAACTTATCCTCCCACAACTGGAAAAGTAACAATTGGAAAAGTGTCCTATGACGGTGAAAGAATTAACACGTGTGTAACCTACAGCTTAATACCTATTAAATTGGAGAAAAACTAACTATTGTCATTTAAATCGCCATGTTATCCCATTGAACAAAAATAAATGAATATAAGAAAAATATAAACGTAGTTTAACCATTTCATTGCAGCTGCTCTAATTTTCGTACTATTTTTCGACGAGGTTTAGTGTTAAACTGCTACAAACTTGTCAGTTACTTAATATTAAGTGTCTGAAACAAAAGAAAATAGTGGTCAATATTACGTCATCAGACGGTTAAAGTTTAATAATCTAATACATATATAATGGCGAGCGGCTCGGGAGTGGAATCGCTTGCCTGCAGACTTGTTCCCCGAACGCTTTAACTGGAACCTTTTCAAGGCGAGAGTGAATAGGCATTATTTCATCATCGACCTTATCGTCACTTTCCATCAGGTGAGATGGAGGCCAAAAGCGCACTTATTTTTTATACTTGTATAAAAAACACGAATTAGAAGAACGAAGTGAACAAGTTTTAAATGTCATTAAAATTTTCCAAGAAGTGGCAAGCATGAGTCAAAAGGTATCAATAAAAACTACATTCACTGCATATTAAACGAACCACATTTAAACTGAACTTAAGGTAACATCCATTCTATTATGTGTCTTCCACGGCGGGCTAAGGAAAAAATAAGAAATAATATTTAGCTTCACTCCCGTTGGACTGAATTTCCTGCATGAACTCCTCAAACACATACAATACAATACAATACAATACAATATGCTTTATTTTCTCTCATTAAGGTTGTAGTTACAATGTACCTCTATGTGTGTGAGTGGGCCAGGATTTGTTCTATACCTGACTGAGACCTCATGACATAACCTTGTTTTAGAACTAATAAATCGACCTTAGTCCGGCGACTTCGTTATCCGGATAAAGGAAATCGGGGAAAAGCCTTTAGCATGAGCAACTCTCGCGCTTGCAACAAGTATCGCTTCAATGTGCCAAACTATACAAAAGCTAGAGCAAGTTTAGAAAGCAGTAAACCTTACGCACTGTAAGAAATTTGTTCCAAAAGCGCTAAAGCTCTGCCAGCCGCTCCAAGGGAGCCGCGGCAGCCGCGCTGGCCAGCTTTACGGCCGCGCGACGTCGGCAGACATTCTCCGACGTTGCCGGCCGCCCCGCACCGAGCCGCCGGACCTGCTGAGCGTGACGGCTGCATCGTCTAAAATTATAACATTTATTTTTATGTCTCAAAAGACCTGGATGAACAAGACAGAGGACAAGATTTAACCCATAAAAGTACAAGAACTTCAGTAGGTATACAGACAAGTCTAACACTTTAAATATAAAGAAGTAGTATCTAATGTAATAAACCAAGAGAACGAGTTCTGTTGAACTCAAACCTTAAAGGTCTTTCACCTCCTGGATCGCCTACTACCTACATATCTCTCTTTAAAAACGGAAATATTACCTAAATGCATACTTGCTGATGTTCAAGTATTTGAATTTCTATTAAATACTCGTTAAAATGTACCAATTGGAACTGAAGCTCTCCGCTTGAACAAAAGGTAGACGAAAATCCAAGTTACACGCAATGTAAAGTTTGACGATGATGATTTTCGAATAAATTATAAAGCATTAAGATCAAGTTTCTATATGCCAGATTCATAAATGGAAGCGTTGTTAAGAATACGCTAAAACGTGTTTTATATTCACATATTTCGAGAAACACAGTTGACTGTGTGTTGACTTATTGATAAGTAAAATTATAAGAAAAAGTAATGAATAATTGAAAGACTTACCACATCCCAGCAAGTCTTAGGTGTGGTTACGCAGGGACTCTGGCTCACTGTAACAAAAATGGAAAAGCTATAAAAATACGCAGAAATTCACTAACAGAAAAATACGTATTTTACCTCATTCATATTTACAGCACATATTATGCAACGAAAGTTAGAAATAATACAATGGTCAACCGCGTGGTGCACTATATTTTTTCACA